ACATGGGGGCGGGGTGGGGGGGTGATGTCCATCCTCTGCCCGATGATTAGAACCAATATGTTTACTGTCTCCCATCACCCGACATGGACAAGCTAGGAGGGGTTCCTTTGTTTTGCCTTTAGCTATTTTTATTCTCATGCCTTTTTCTTGCAATCCAAAAGTCTTGGATTCATATGGATAGTCGTTCTAGAACGCGTCCATTGTTCCCCTTTTATCCAAGTTGACCTTGTGTTTATGACACAAAATCAGGGAACATAGTTTTAAAACATTTTCATGTCTGAGATAAGAAGCAACAAAAACTATTCCAATTAATATCAACAAATGACATTTTAGGCGAAACATATTTTAGTTATTTTGTGCTATTTCAAGAAACTTTGCATGACAGAAATGTATGAAGCAAGTATTCATAATGAAACCAACAACACACAAAATAGATATCCAGATGATAAAAAGATCAAATATATGTTACGTGTTTGTGGAATTTATTTCTTTGGATCGCCAAACTCATATACTAGGAATTGAATTCTTCCTAAAAATAAATTAAATTATCCTAAAAAGGAACTAAATTCAAGCATGTTACAACTATGATGAAAGGGGAAAGTAGAGCCATGAAGCAGTTCTATTGTACAAATTGAGAATACTTAGAATTTTGAAGTAAGAAAAGTGTATAGAAAAGCATGTACTATAGAAGAAAGTAAATAGATACTGTATTAAAAAATATCAATTAATGACATTTATGGTAGCGCATATTTACAAAAATATTGAATATTTGAACAAATAACAAGTATGCCTTGCACTTTTATTGAAATTATGCATTCATAACCAAAATTAACATGTCATAAGTTTGCTATTTAGGTGGTGGAAGGATCTCACATACAACACATTTTTGTCGAGATATTCTTGTTGGATCACCACAGACATATAAGAGGAATTAAATTTAGTCCTAGTATAACTATGTCAAAAGAAAAGAAAATCGGTTGAATTATGGAGGGGCTCCTTAGTTGAAACTAAGAACACTTAGACATTTTTTTGGAAAAAGTAGCCTATTACATATAATAAAGTAAACATATCCTCCTATTTCTAGAACAAAAATAAAACAAACATACCATAGGACATCAAACCATTCATTTTGCATGTAACAATTCACGTCAAATTGCTTGAAAAATAATTCCCTTAATATTTCAACTAATTTCATCCTACAATGGTACAACCATTCCAAAATAAAATTTCATAGAAGATTCCAAGTCACTCCATTTGCATACACATTTTTCGAGGAATTTCTATATGCATTAGTAAATACTAACTATTTTTCTTGGAGATTTTGGCAATCCAGTGATATCATTATGTGCAATTTACTTGGAGATTTAGGCAAATGGTTAACGTTATTGTGTGCAAATGAAGAGATGCCAAACAAGGGGAAATGAGGAAGAAAAAACATGCCCTGGTATGGTGTATCACATTCTACAAAATTCTTAATGTTTCATTGTTACCACCATTGCTGCCCAGTTTTCCCTTTTGGCTTCTATAGATAAAAGAAGGTCGTGCAACACATGGGGGGATCTCCATCCTTCGTCCGATCATTAGAACCAATATGTTTTTTATCCCCTCATCCGGCATGGACAAGTTAGGAGGGGTCCCTTTGTTTCACCTTTAACGATTTTTGTTCTTACCCCTCTTTCTTACAGTAAAAAGGTGTTGGATTCATATGGATTGTCATTCTAGAACATGTTTATTGTTCCCCTTTTATCCAAGTTGACCTTGTGTTTATGTCACAAAATTAGGGTAACGTAGTTTTGAAACATTTTCATGTGTAAGATAAGAAGCAACAGAAAAACTCTTCCAATTAATATCAACAAATGACATTTTAGGCGAAACATATTTTGGTTATTTTGTGCTATTTCAAGAAACTTCGCATGACTGACGCATGAAGCAAGTATACATAATGAAACCAACGACACACAAAATAGATATCGAGAGGACAGAAAGATCAAATATACATCACGTGTTTGTGGAGTTTACTTCTTTGTATCACAAAAGGCATATACAAGGAATTGAATTCGTCTAAAAAGGGAATAAAGTCCATGCTAAAAAGAGGAATTAAATTCAAGCAAGGTACAACTATGTCGAAAGGGGAAAGTAGAACCATGAAGCAACTCTATTGTCAAGATTGAGAATACTTGGAGTTTTGAAGAAAGAAAAGTGTATGAAAAAACTTATCCTATAGAAGAAATGCGATATTGAAAAAAATAATTAATGGCATTTATGGTTGCGCCTATTTACAAGTATAGAGTATTTGGATAAATAACAAGTATGCATTACACTTTTATTAAAATTATGCATTCATAACTAAATCAAAATGTCATAAGTTTGCTATTCAGGTAGTGGAAAGATCCCACATACAACACATTTTTGTCGAGGGGAAGATATCAGGTGGTACTGGGCATTAGGTGATACCGTGTTACGAGCTTCTAGGGGCCATTGGATCTCCGATACGACGACTCACGAGAGATCTTGAACATTTTGCAAAAAAGTCATTCAAGAGTCTCAAAAATTCGGGTAGGTACAATAGCTTTTGAGGAGCCGTCGGATCTGAGATACAACGGTCTAGGAGCCCATATCACGGTATCATCTAAGTGCTGGTAGCACCTTATATTTTCCCTTTTGTTGGATCACCAAAGATATATAAGAGGAATTAAATTTAGTCATAGTATAACTATGTCAAAAGAAAAGAAAATCAGTTGAACGATGGAATAGCTCAACTGGGAACACTTGGACTTTTTTTTTGAGAAAATAGCCTATCATATATAATAAAGTAAACATATCTTTCTATTAGAACAAAAATAAAATAAACATATCATAGGACATCAAACGTTCATTTTCAATGTAAACAATTCACACTAAATTGCTTGAAAAAAATTCCCTTAATATTTCATCTGATTTCATCCTACAATGGTACGACCATTCCAATCAAATTTCATATAAGATTTCAAGTCGCTCCATTTGCATACACATTTTTTGCGAGGAATTTGTATATGCATTAGTAAATACTAACTATTTTTCTTGGAGATGTTGGCAATCCATTGACATCATTATGTGCAATTCACTTGGAGATTTAGGCAAATGGTTGACGTTATTATGTGCAAATCAAGAGATGACAAATAAGGAAAATGAGGAAGAAAATTCCTTGGTAGAGTGTATCACATTCTACAAAATGCTTAATGTTTCACCGTTACCATCATTGTTGCCCGGTGCAAAAGTTCTCCCTGTTGGCTTCTATAGATAAAAGAAGGCCATGTAACAAATAGGGGGGGGGGGGGCTCTCTGTATAGCACGGATACGTTTTCTGTCCCCCCCTCATCCGACATGGACAAGCTCGGAGAGGTCCCTTTGTTTCACCTTTAACAGTTTTATTCTTACGCCTTTTTCTCACAATCCAAAAGTCTTGGATTCATATGGATTGTCGTTCTAGAACATCTCCATTGTTCCCCTTTTATCCAAGTTGACCTTGTGTTTGTGTCACAAAATTAGGGTTACGTAGCTTTAAATATATTCGTGTTTGAGATAAGAAGCAACACAAAAACTATTCTAATTAATGTTACCAAATGGCATTTTTGGTGAAACGTATTTGGGAAAATAGTTTATGCTATTTCAAGAAACTTTGCATGACAGACACGTATGAAGCAAGTATTCATAACTAAACCAACATGCCACAAAATAGGTATCCATATGGCAAAAGATCTGATATCCGTCACGTTTTTGTAGAGTTTATTTATTTGGATTGCCAAAGGCATATATGAGGAATTGAATTCTCCTAAAAAGAAAATAAATTCATGCTAAAAAGAGGAACTAAATTCAAGCATGGTACAACTATGTCAAAAGGGAAAAGTAGAGCATTGAACCAGCTCTCTAGTCGAAATCGAGGATACTTGGATTTCGAAAGAAAGAAAAGTGCATAAAAAAGCATCTCCTATAGGAATCAATAAATAAACGTTTCTCTATGATAGCAACAAACAGTTTTTCACATGCAACACTTCACACCAAATTCCCTGCAAAGAAATTATTCCCATAATATTTTGTTTGATCTCATCCTACCATACAGCCATTCCAAAATTAAATCTCATACAAGATTCCAAATCGCTCCATCTGCATGCGCCTTTTCTTTCAGATAACTTTTATGCATTGGTAATTGATTTAGACAAATGCTTGACCTTATCACTAGCAAATCGAGAGGAGACGAACACGAAAAAAATGGCAAGAAAAGAAACCATGCTCTGGCACGGTCGCATCACGTTTTCTTTTCTTCTTATAAAAGCGTTCCACGCTTCGCCGTTACCACCATCGCCTGCCCTTTGCCCACCCGGTGCCGAAGTTTCCCCTCTTTGCTTCTACAGATAAGAGAAGGCCTCGCAGCCCACGGGCGGCCATCTCCATCCTCTCCGCCCACTCCACCCCGCACTGAAAAAACCCCGAGAGCCATGGCAGCGTTCCACCCCCTGGTCGCCTCGCGCGTCCGCCTCGCCACCCCGCTCCTCCCCGCCGCCGCGCCCGCCGCCGCCGCGGCCGGGGTCTCCTTCCACCGCCGCCGCTTCTCCGCCATCGTCGCCGCGGCGACCGCCCCCGCGGCCACCGGGTTCGACTTCAACTCCTACATGGGGGAGCGGGCGGTGGCCGTGAACAGCGCCCTGGACGCCGCCGTCCCGGCCGGCGAGCCCCCCGCGGCGCTCCACGACGCGATGCGCTACGCGCTGCTGGCCGGGGGCAAGCGCGTGCGCCCGGCCCTCTGCCTGGCCGCCTGCGTCGTGTCCGGCGGCCGCGAGGCCTGGGCGATGGCCCCCGCCGCCGCGGTCGAGATGGTGCACACCATGTCGCTCGTGCACGACGACCTCCCCTGCATGGACGACGACGACCTCCGCCGCGGCAAGGCCACCTGCCACGTCGTGTACGGCGAGCCCATCGCCGTGCTCGCCGGCGACGCCCTGCTCGCGCTCGCCTTCGAGCACATGGCCAGCCTCGACTCCTACCCCCCGGACGTCGACCCCGCCAAGCACACCGCCCGCGTCGTCCGCGCCATTGGTGAGCTCGCGCGCTGCATCGGATCAGAGGGCCTCGTCGCCGGCCAGGTCAGCAGATTCTATTCGATTTCGTCACTGAAAAAAGTACAGTTTGGGAATCTGCTAATTCTGTGAATCGATGCCTTTCTAAGAATTATGATTTGCATAGGTATCTCCGTACAGTTAGATTACAAATTGAAACGATCCTCAACATAGATTGTGCCACATAACTTGTCACATTACTGAAAAATGGGCGTCAACTTTTTATCAGGTTGTTGATCTGGAGATGACTGGCTCAACCGAGACTGTACCACTTGACCGCCTTGAGTACATCCATCTGCACAAGACTGCTGCCTTGCTTGAGGCCTCAGTGGTTATTGGAGCAATCATCGGGGGTGGCTCGGAAGAGCAGATTGAGCGGTTGCGCAAGTACGCGAGATCAATTGGGTTGCTGTTCCAGGTGGTTGATGACATTCTTGATGTGACCAAGTCATCAGAGGAGCTAGGGAAGACAGCTGGGAAGGACTTGGCGAGTGACAAGACGACATACCCAAAGTTACTAGGGTTGGAGAAGTCACGGGAATTTGCGGAGAAGTTGCTTTCTGATGCAAAGGAGCAACTTGCTGATTTTGATGAAGAGAAGGCAGCACCGCTATTGTACTTGGCCAATTATATTGCCTATCGGCAGAACTAAGGTGATGGTTATTCTGTTGTTTGTTGTTGATCTGTAACTTTGTAAGAACATCAAGTCTGGGATTTGAGGAATATCTGAATTCTTCCCCTCATATATACTAGTTTAGTTTTCTACCATTGTGTCATGAGAATATTTAGGTGACAAAAGCCACATGAGTTAGGTGGCAAATACCAATGTCCCATTGAGATAGCCAAGACTTTATAATGGGAATCAGCCTTTATGTCCTATACTGTCTGGATGATAATAAATCAATTGATTTCGAAAGAATAACATTTTATTTCTCTATTTCTTTCTTTCCACGACAATTGCATGCATCACATTATTGCTATGCTCCTTGCTAGCCAGAATGTTCAACGAGAAAGAGCATATCAAAGTCATGGTTTTCTATCTGAGGTACTTCCTCTGTTCGAAATTATAGTGCATACAGTTTTTTTTTCAAAAGTCAAGCATTCTAAAGTTTGACCAGGTTTCTTTACATCTACAACAGCAAATAAATACAGTATCATTATATTATTTTTAATTGTATTTGTTTGATATTATTGATGTTGATATTTGCCTGTATACACTTGGTCAAACTTTACGAAATTTGACTTTGAAATGTCTAATTGCAGTTAGGTTTTATTAGTTCTGTAGAAGAATCTAGACAAAGGGAAGTATATGTCAGCATGCTGTGCTCTCTGTTCACAGAAAAACCATGGATAACATCAGATGTATGCGCGTAGCCTGTCACTTTAATGATGGAATTTAAATTTAGAGTATGATGTATCTGTTCATGACATGTGGAGCTTTCTTGAGGGTGAAACTTCAGTGAAAGTTCAGTTTTTGATATAAGTATTCGGATTTGACTCCATGATAGTGGTGGAAAACTGGAACATGAGGATCCTGCAGTTGCCATTCAGTTTGGCATATTTTCACACTCCCAACACTGTACTATGCAAGTTATGTGATGTGATCATATGCCATCCCTAACAATCCATCACTTTGAATATGAGTTTTTTTTCGGTACTCTATATTTGCCAACTATAACACATGCAGTGCTACAACAATTATAAGCAACTTTTAGGCTGATAGTGGCATGCAGTAGCAGGCGTTCAACCTGCACACAGTATCAATGATCATATCTTGAATGTGAATATGTCAAAAATCAAGAGCATATTGTTGTCCCACATGTCCTAGTCAACTACTATCATGGATGGATGCTTGCTGCAGTGTTTTGATTCAGCACCGCAGTTTCTGGTCATGTCTATTTCACTAGTGTACTGCACAATTGATTTGTTTTGTGCTTGTATATCAGGTTGCTTTTACCTTGCCTGCCACTGTAAAGCTTTCTTCACTGGAAGAGTTAGCCTGCATTTCTGTGGCTAAACATGTCGATTGTCAATCATTTCTTTTAAAATGATCAATGTTTCCAGTTGCATAAGATTTGTCATACAGGGGACATTGGTATCTAACCATCAAAAAAATCCCTGATTGCAGTTAGGTTTTATTAGCTCGATAGAAGAATCTAAACAAAGGGTTAATATGTGTGAGCATGTTTTGCTCTCTGATATGGAATAACATCAGATGTATGCTGGTAGTAAGTCACTTCATTCTTTATCTGGTAAATCTTAGTCTGCCTATTATTTCTGCTAAACCACTGTACTGATGGAAGTTCAGTATAGATTGATGTATCTGTTCACGATATCCCCATTCTGCCGTACATTGCTGGATTGCATAAGCATGTTATCTGGCTTCCTGATTGTAACCCATGACTACTAATGTTAATGCATAAAACTTCCCCTGTGTCCATTTCTGTGAATGCACACTCTGGTTGTTTTCTGCTCATGTCTGTTTCAGCACTAATCAGATCGATTTTACTTTGCACGTTATTATAATGTTTCTTGACTGAGTTTAACATGAGGATCCTGCGGGCGGCGGTTGTCATTTTGAATTTGGCATGTTTTCACACTCCGCTGTCTTGATCCCTGCTACTTACTTTGAATTACGTTATATTCCTGGCTTCACAACTGAACTGCACATGGGTGAATATCGCGTGGTTGGGATTTTCTTGTTTAGAATCTTGTTTGCTGTTGACTTCGAGGCTGTCGAGCATGTGGCATCTCCAATCCTGCATCAAGGCCAGGATCGGATCATCACCGTATCTTTTCCTCAGAAATACTATACTGCATGCCAGGTTGGGGTCAGGTCCATAGACCAAGTGGCATCAAGTTAACATGCTGTTTAGTTGGCTAACCCCAAGGGAGCAGCAACAAGTTCCTATCTTAATTGGCTTTGGCTAGGCTCTGGAACCCCATGTACTGACAAGGACAGAGACATTTTCGCGGCTGCCACCATGGTTCACATCGGAGACGGTTGCAGCGCGAGCTTCTGGAACTCCTCTTGGCTGGATGGGATCAGGCCGAAAGACATTGCACCCGCTCTCTACGGCATCTCTAAGAAAAAGATGTGCACAGTCCAAAAGGCACTCCTGAACAATTTTTGGGTCAGCCAAATAAACACCCAACATGGCCTATCCTTGGGGCACATCCAGGAGTTCGCCCTCCTTTGGGAAAGGGTGTCTGGGATCAACCTTGTTGCGGGAGTCCGTGATACTATCCTATGGAAGCTCACTACAAGTGGCGATTATTCTGCTTCTTCGGCCTACATGGCGCAGTTCGAGGGCCATCTCAGGAGCAACATGAACATGTCCGTTTGGAAAGCTTGGGCTCCTCCCAAGTGCAAGTTTTTTGCTTGGCTCGTCATCCAGAATCGTGTTTGGACAGCGGATAGGCTGCAGCATCGGGGCTGGCCCAATTATGGGCTTTGCCCTTTATGCAAGCAAGTTATTGAATCTGCACCCCATCTTCTATTCCAATGCATATTTTCCCAACGCGTTTGGGCTAATGTGGCTTCATGGATTGGCGTAAAACAATGCTATCACTGCAGGCTGGCGTAACGAAATTTCCGTAAAGGAATGGTGGTTCAAGACTATCCTAGATAGGGGGCCCCCGAGGAAGGCTCTGGCCTACATGCTCATGCTTGTTTCCTGGGAACTCTAGAATGAGCGCAATGCAAGAGTTTTTAGGAATGTCGCTACCACGGTGACCATGGTCACTGCTAGGATAAAGGAGGAGGCTCCTATTTGGGCGATTGCAGGCGCTAGACACCTGTGTAATGTAATGCCGCGAGAGTAGACTCCTTTCCCCCGCCTTGCAGGTACCTGTTAAAACTTCTCTCTTAATCAATGAAAATGGCAAATATTTTGCCTTGTTTCAAAAAAAAAAAATTGAGGCCAGTAACCAAGCTATCTCTAGCATTTCACTTCTCACTTCTTCTTCGGTACAACCCCCTAAACACATCAACAGTGAAGATATGTTTATACCTCTTCATAATAAAGGGTAGGATAGTCTTTTTTTTTGTTGATGATGATCTTTTTTTTCGTCAGCATGTATACGGCACCCAACCCCTGTTGGATTGGGCTGGGCCCAATGGTGATCGCTGTAGTAAGCGCAGTCTTTTTTTGTTGTTGATGATGATCTTTTTTTTCGTCAGCATGTATACGGCACCCAACCCCCGTTGGACTGGGCTGGACCCAATGGTGATGGATGTAGTAAGCGCGGTCTTTTTTTGTTGTTGATGATGATTTTTTTTTTCGTCAGCATGTATACGGCACCCAACCCCCGTTGGACTGGGCTGGGCCCAATGGTGATGGCTGTAGTAAGCGCGCCCCTTCACGGGATGTAAAAATTGAAAAGAAAATCAAATCAAGTGATACCAAGATTTGAACCACAGACCTCTTGCACCAGGCCTGAGTGGCTCACCAGTTGACCCGACTATGACTGTGTAAAGCAATGACGTGAAATCTTAGAAATTAACACCAAGGAGCGTGCCTCTTCGCGGGCTGTGAAAAATCACCCCAAAAAAACCAGCTAGCAATCTAACCACGGATCTCTTGCGACAACCGTGAGTGGTATACCAGTTAAGCTGACTAATGTTTGTGCAAAACGAGGAGTGCACATACTTAAGAACTAACACTAATGCATAATTTAGGTACCTTTTCAAAAAATTCAAACATTTTTTGGAAATTCTGAATAAAATTTTACAAATCAAATAATGATTTAAAATCCAACAGTTTTCAAAAAAATTAGTTTTTTTAGAAGCATGACATATTTAGAAAATTTGAACAACATTTTTTAAAAGCATGAACATTTCAAGAAAAAGATATATGTTAGTTCAAAATATGAAGTATATTCTTTTGAATAACATTTTCAATAATTTTAAAGAGATATGAGGAGCATGCAAACTTAAGAAGTAACTTTCTGAACAATTTTATGAACACAACTTGAACACTTGCTTTCTTTGTAGCTTATTATGTGACAAATGTAACTTCATGAAGTTTTAGGCCGGTTTTTCATGTTTTTTTAAAACGGGCTTTATTCTAGTTTGTTTTCCTTTTTTATTTTATTTGTCCTTTGTTTTCCTTTTTGTTTTTTCCTGTTATTTCAAATGTGTGAAACTTTTAAAATAAAAAAAATCATGAATTTGTTCTCAAAATTTTCAATCCTTTTCAATTTCTCGAGCTTATTTTTCCAACTTTTTTGGTGAACTTTTTTGGAAAATTTTCAACATGAATATTTTTTCAGCATTGATGAACTTATTTCAAATCCACAATAGCTTAGCTGGTTTAGCTCTCACGTGGGGAACAAAGCATGCATTGGGCCATTTATATCCTGCATGGTTGGACACACGCGTGTGATTGAGCCTTTGGTGTTGGGTGACACGCGAGAGGGGGCCTCGTACTGGATGCCTGGATTTCAGTTTTTTCTTTCAGTTATACGGTTTAATACCGAATCTGATTTGAATTCGGTTATTAAAAAGAAACAAAAATGTTTTTTTGGACATTCTTGAAATGAACCCAACATTTGCAAGCAGGTGGCCATGCCCATGATAGGCATCCATGTCAGGTTTGAATGATTTCTGACACCGTATGCAAGTCGCGACACCTCCGGCCATTTATCGGC